GGGGGGGGGGGGGGGGGGGGGGGGGGGGGGGGGGGGGGGGGGGGGTACCCTGTGATACATCGCTACTAGGGGTGCCGTGCCAATGAATAGCGTGTGACGCGGTGAAGCGTTGAGTTGGAGCTACGAGGTGTTTTCGACGGCAGGCGAGGGAGGCATCCACCCGCGGGTACGGCAAACATGATTTGCTTGATGCGCTACGGCCCTCCCGAAGTGCTATTATAGTTTGACCTAACGCCCTCGTCTGACATGTATGTTATGTCATACAGTTATGTCACACAGAAGAGCCAGTGCTGCTCTGTGCACTCATCGCCTGGTGGCACCGCCGAAGACGATCGGTTACCCTCGTCATGCTTTTATCAGCGCAACTTCGATCGTTGGCGTTTCGATCGATGTCCAGCCGGACGGAGAGCCTGGCGCGGGACGACGATGCACGTTCCACCATACCCCCCGCTCCCTCCCCCCCCTCATCCGATGAGGATGCTGGGCCCCTCAATAGTGTGGCGGACAAATTAAGACCGGTTGAGCAGCACGAAAAAAAAAGTTCACACCTAAGAGGGCATGTGTGATGTCGATACGAGGACTTCGACATGACTTGGCTTGCAGCCGCTTGCCGCGTATCAGCACAGGTGAGGATGCTATTGGCATGTGAGGGTTTTTTCTCCTGGGGAGGGAAAACAGCTGCTGTGTGCTATCCGACGACGTGCGTCTGCTATTCGACATCGTGCGAATTTATCTCAGATAGAAGCATAGTTTCAACTCAGATACACATCTTGGTTGTGTTTTTTCGGTGTTGTGACGCAGGATAACACGGTGCCAAGCACCCTGTCGCCCGCAGGGGAGCCGTGCACGAAGCTTCGACTGTGGGTCACCACGGCTTCGGGTTTCCTATGCTTCGAGATATTGCTGGCGGGCGGGTGTTTTTCTTGGCCTCAGGTACGGACAAGTGGCGAACTGGTGCGGTTTGGATCGCGAGATAACGGGGAGGAGGACTGGAGAGAGAGAAGAAGGGAGACAAGGAAGAAACCATAAAGTTTGGAAAATCAAGAATTGGATTCTGAAATGGAGAGAGTTGGGGCATGCACGCATCTACGTCGGCGCATTGTTCCATGCATTGCACGGTTCTGTGTGGCGCGTGTACATGAAACAGTGTTGCGTTCCCAGACCGCTGCTGCCGATTGATGGTCCACAAACGAGTCTGCCCACTCGCTCCCAGCGACCCAATCCCCCCCCCCTTCCTTCTTTTCCTGCGTTATCCCCAGGCTCTGCCTCCTCTAGTTACCCGGCAGAGGCCGCTCATTCCGGGGGTCCGTCCCCAAAGCCTCCGGGCCATGGCCGTCGGCGGCGGCCGCTCGCTACCGGTCATGATCCTCGCCTCCTTCCGCCCCTCGGACGGCTCGCCGGTCCTGATCGTCCTGGACACAGACGCCGCTCTCGCCGCGGCCACCGTCGCAACCGCCACGGCTGCTGCTGCTGCTGCTGCTGCTGCTGCTGCCGGTTTCGCGACGAAGGGGGAGAGCGGGAAGAACCCGGAGCCTCTTTGGTCCTCCTCGACGGGGGGGGCCGTTGATGGTCGTGGTGGTCGTGGTGGTGGTCTCCAGGATGGAGGAGGGGGGGTGGTGATCTCGGGGGAGCGGGGGGACGAGCACGAGGTGGAGCTTGCGACGAGGTGCTGCAGCAAGAGCGTGTTCCCGGCGAGGCCGCACGCCGTGTTCGTGGACCCTGCCGAGGTTAAGGCGTTCGTGTGCCGACGACGGAGGCGGCGTTGGCGCTGCGGGGATGATTGTGTTGTTGTTGTGCCCGGCTCGTCAGGTGTGTGTGAGTGTGTTTTGTGAGGGCGACCGTCTCTGCTATTTTTGTATTTTCAGAGTCAACGGCTTTGTGTGATCTGCCTTCCGACAGCTACCGTGAAGACTTTCAGGAAGATTTAGCTATTTAGTTCAACAAACACACGCATTCCAACTGGGTTTAAACGTTCCTGTTGGGAAGTTACGGTCCCCGTTCCCCTGGGGGTGTATCTCGGTGTGTTGATGGCAAGGCTCGTACGTTCCATGACCAACCAGAAGGGCCGACAGGGAGCGCGTTGATTTCTATTTAGTTGCGGCCTTGGTTGTGTTTTGTAGTGCATTTTGAAAGACACAACCAGGCCATGGAAGAAAATATGCCCTATTTTCAATGCCGCCGCCTCGCTTCAGACATCTCATGACTGCTGTGCTGAATTCGGTTCTATGCAATATTGCGCTCAGCGACAGAGAGAGATAGCCAGAGAGAGAAA